AATCATCTTCAAGGGATCTAGGGTACTCTATGCATAGTCTAATCATATTGACGAAAATACCCCTGGTTTGCGAAATAATTGTAAAGTCTGGTTTTATTGCTGCAAGTTGCTCAAGGATATATTCACACCATGGACGCCTAAAATGGGTACATAAATGTTTGTGGGAAAACTTTGTATTCGACAACAAGGAACGAGAAAACGTGTTTGCAGGAACTCTTCATATAAGATTTTTAGGTATTTCTGTGACCTACAAAATGAGAGTACACGTAAAAAGATCCAACTAATATAAAAAAGTTATGGCCGAAAACCAAGGGAATCTACAGGTTTTGGCACTTGTTGATAATGCGACCTTGGTTTCTCGCAGATATTTGACATTCTCCAAATTGGTCGAGTAGTTTTTGAGAATTTTCCAATTGCTTATCCCAAAACATCTGTTTTCCGGCCATCACTACTAGTTTATTGAGCAATATACAGGGTTAGTTCAAATAAAATAAATAGTTGAAATACACTAGTTTATCTTGCCGATATGAATGTTAGTATTAGACAACAAATGAAGGGTCAAATTTTTTCTTCTAAACAAATTCAAACGTTTCGTATTTGTGAGTAATTCGCAACAAAAGATGATAGACACATCCGGTTTGTTTTAAAATGTGTATACAGTATATTCAGATAAGAGATAAACCGGATGTAAACAAAAGGTTCGGGTGATTTTCACCCTAACGCCGCCGTCTCGACGTAAAACAGGAGCCCTCATTGGTCAATTCGCAATTAAATGCCTATGCCGAGCGGCAGAGCAGTCGTATCAAGGCAGAGTCACATTCAGGTTCAGACGTGTTACGTATGTCGTGTGCATCATTGCAATTTGATATTTCTTTGGACGTTATCGTTTGTTATCTTATTAAGTTGTTGAGTTGTTATTGTTATACCTTGTTATTGATTGTTATTGTTATCAACTGCTTGTGCAAAATGCCCAGTAGTACAGATACTGCCGATGAAGTTGTAAACTCCTGTAGTCCACCTAGGAAACGCTCTAAAAAAAGACACCTGAGTGCAGAAATGAAAGAGGTCATTTTGAATATATATAAGATCGAGCGCGAGGAGAACGAGGCATCAACCATCAAAGAAATTGTTGTGAAGGTTTCTCACAAAGTTGGGGTGTGTCGCGCATCAGTGTTTAATGTGTTAAGACAATACAAAAAAAATCACACCTTTTCTGAGCCAATGACCAGTAAACATCGCAAAAGTTAGCTGATAAGCATGCGATTAGGAGGAAAGTGCATGAATTCTTCTTTAGAAATGAAATACCTACTATAGATAAAGTACTGCAGGAGGTAAATGGAGATACAACGTTGCCAAATTTCAAACGATCAACTTTCCATGCGTTACTGAAGCATTTAAACTTCAAATGTAAAAAACGGGATCGTAATAGTTTACTACTGGATAGAGAAGAAATTGTGCTATGGAGGAGGGGATTATTTAACAAAAATTGGGAAATATAGAAATCAAAACAGGAAAATTTATTACCTTGATGAAACGTGGGTAAACGCAGGACACACTACAAGTAAAGTATGGGTTGATGATTCTGTAACTTCATCCAGAAGGAGGGCCTTTCTAGATGGACTGTCCACCGGATTAAAAAATCCAGCAGGTAAATACGAGTAATAGACAACAATCGGATGTTTTTCAAACCTTGGGAACAAGGTTCTAAACATTAATTCCAGGGGGCAGATAAAACATATTACAAGTAACAAAACTTTTATAACTTTCGATAAAATGCGTGGATGTTTTATTGTCATTTTCATTTGTTAGAACTTTTTTAAGCCATGTTTTTATGTGTTTTCGATATTTCAATAATTTTTTAATATAATCTTAAAATATGTCGAATATTATAAACTTAAAAAAAGTTACTAACTTTTATATTGTGTACCGTTCCTAATATTTCTAATCATTTTAATTCATACTTTAAGCTTTATAAAGTTATAATTTGTTAATATTAATATTTGCGCGTATTTCAGGTTCCCGATCATTCATTTTTTAAAGGTTTATAACTTTAAATTAAATTGTGAAGCGCTGAGTAATCATACGACGTTCAATATTCTTTCTTTCAATATGACTAAATAATCCCAATTATAGCAATCTGATACTCATGTCTCAATGTTTTTTCGCTGAATGTGATGAAAACATTTGAAAAAGGTTCGCTTATTGAAATAAATCTACACCAGTTAGTACTTCGATTTCCAGGTAAAGGGAAAAGGCTCATTATCTGCCATATTGGCAGTGAGGATGGATTTGTTGTTGACGATCTGTGGTGCTTTGAGTCTAAGAAAACTGGAGATTACCACGAGGAAATGAATGGCGAATCGTTTGAACAGTGGTTTTCAAAAATTTTACCGAACTTAGAGGAAAACGCAGTAATTGTGTTGGATAATGCGCCTTATCATTCTCGAAGAATGGAGAAGGTCCCAACAACGGCTTCAAGGAAAGTTGATGTTCAAAATTGGCTCCGCTCGAAAAATATTAACTTTGAAGAAGCAATGCTGAAAGTACAATTATTAAGAATTGTCAAGGATCACAAGGCGGAATATCAAAAATACGCCATTGACGAAATGGCAGCAAGTCAAAATAAAACTGTGCTCCGTTTACCTCCATACCATTGCGAGCTCAATCCCATTGAGCTCATATGGGCAGAGGTTAAAAATTATATAGCTAAGCACAATAAAACTTTTAAATTTTGTGACCTCAAAGGACTTTTCAAAGAAGCACTAGAATTAATAACAGCGCAAAAATGGGAAAACTGTATTAAGCACGTGAAAGACAAAGTTGAAAAGAGAACGTGGGAACTGGACAATATTTTACAGGAACAAGTCGAGCCATTCATTATTGACGTTGGTGCTTCAGGCAGTAGCGATGATGAAAGCTCATCAAGCTCATCTTTCCAATAAAAGATGTCGTTCATCAAATTCGGTAAGTTATAAGTAATTATAAAGCTACTGTATTTTTTAATTAATTATTGACATTTTTGAACCCATTTTGGCAAAACCTATTCAAGAATCTACTTTCTGACAATGTTCAACCATGCACATTTTTTTACGTTTTGAACGTTTTAATTTGGTTACATATTTACCTAGAAATCAAAAAATATACTAATCAATATTCTAAAAGCAATTTTAAGAGATATACGATTATTTTTAATTTAGGCTAATTTAAACGCCATTTTGAGATTATATTCGACTGTATTTCACCAAACATCAGGCGGCATCCGAAGCTGGAAATCGAAGCGAAAATTTTGAAACCCTTATGTATATTTACATCATTATATATTTCTTACCCCACCCCCACATGATCCTATATCCATCACCAATCGTATACACATCGAATTGTGCTAATTTACTACAAAGTTACGCAAAGCAGCATCTACTATCTAAAATATGTACTGCGTGACTCTTAATACGTCCCTGCCGAATGTTACAGCGTTCGATGATCACGTGGTCTTGTTTATGTCCGGTCTATCTCTTATCTGAATATACTGTAGTAACGTATGTTTTTCGAATATCGCAGCGCATTTGATCAATTACTCACAAATACGAAATGTTTGAATTTGTTCAGAAGAAAAAAACGTAACCTTTGTTTTTCGCATAAAAATAACATTTATCTTTCGGAATGGTTTGTGGCTCATATCGCCAAGGTGAACACGTGTATTTTGCTATTGAATGCTCTTTGAACGAATCCTATATATTGCTCAATAAAGTAGTAGTGATGGCCGGAAAACAGGTGTTTTGGGATAAGCAATTAGAAATTCTCAAAAAACTACTCGACCAATATACTCCAGTTTTGTTACTGTTATTTAGAAGTATGAATCCTACGGATTTGAAGAATTTCAAGTAGTTGCCTGAAATTATCGTCGCATTACCAACAAGTGGCAAAACCTGCATTTTGCCTCGTTTTTCGGCCATATCATTTTTGCTATTGGACGGATCTTTTTACATGTGGTCTCATTTTGTAGGCCTCATAAATACCTAACAATCTTATATGGAAAGTTTTTTCGTTCCTGCTAACACTTTTGATTGAATCTCAAAAAACACGTTTTATCTTTCTTTGTTGTCAAATAAAAGGTTTTCCCACAAAAATTGGTGTACCCATCTTATGAGTCCATGTTAATAAAACTTTACAATTATTCCAGGGAAATTTGCTAATATGACACTAGCAGGAGATTGCACGATTTAGTTTAGTATCAAAAGCAGTGGCCCCATATTAAAATTTCTAGGGGCCTTTCTCAGTCAGAGAGGGTGGATTATAGGCAAAAGATAACTTTAATACTGCACCTATTCTCGACACTTTTTGAAGAAAGAAGTGTAGCAGAGTTTTTCGGGGCGCGGGGGTTGGGTAGGGGGTGTGTTAGCACTGTGAATGCGAAAATAATAGAAACTGAGAATTTTTTTTTTCGATGTCTACAACACGTAAATCCATGTGACGTTATAGTGATGTGATGATTAAAAATTAAAGTAGCTGTCATGTCGCCCCAAAGTTTGTTTTTGTATGCCTTACAACTTTCTGAGCATTTTTACGGGTAATCAAACATCTTTGTGACGAGGTTACAGTTTTTAAAAATTTCGAAAATTTGCTTTTATTGTTTCTGATTGCTTCAGATGAGGGCATACTCAAAAACATTGTGGAGCTCAAACGTTTTATTTCTTTAGAAAGGCTTACCTTGACTCATGGAAATTTGGAAAATAGGCATAGGTGAATGCTTGGGAAGTATCAAGCCATTCATCGCCGAAGACGATTTTAGTGTATCAAAATTTTGAACCTCTGAAGGTGGGAATTTTTACACTTTACGCTTTTTTCTCGTACGTGGGGGCCGCTGTAAGCTGACCGATGCGGCAGTAGCTACGCCCCTGGTCAAAAGAGAATTGTCAGTTTTAAATCTTCTAGCCTCAATACACCATAAACCTTGCCATGAAAAAATTTTATCAAATAATTAACAGATCTTTTGATTTTAGTGTCTAGATCAAACGTGGTACTTAGCAGTGGATTCCCAACTATTTATGTTGTCTCCTATACTGTTGATAAGCATGTGTAAGGCGCCGTTAAAGACATGCTTGGCTTGCATTGGAGCCTGTGTGATTTCAGGACTTTATGCGTTCATATTAACCTATCAAAATGAATATGGAGCGATTTATTACGAGTAAGTATGAAAAAGAATTTAGCGTGATGAGTTCCATCAAATAAAGTGTGTATATTATTTCTACTAGTTGTTACACGCGACTTCGTACGGTCTCTAGTTAGAAAAGGTAAGCAAATATGTTAAAACTTGGGACAGTCCGTAAGCCCCTTTTCGCCGATATCCGATTCTCAATTTTATGTACCTAGCAGAAATTTTTAAGAGTCTCCTACATTTTACAGGTTCACGATTCTGTATCATGTTTACTCATCGTTACCAATTAGCATTAGAAATACTATACCAGCATCTACACATTTTTGCATTAGGCAGATACAAAACATCATATTACAAATCGACCCCTGCAAGGAAGACTATTGCAACTCAGTTTTGATTGAACTGAGATACAGGAATTAGAAGATTTTCTTATGAATTTCGTTGTCAGAAAAATGACGATCTCATGAAAAATATATTGCACATTGCAGTAATTCTTGTATATAGAAGGTTATAAATAAAATTACAATACAAACCTAGCGAAAATGACAATTTTTTTTTAATAACATTTGTTGACTTACTATAGTTTTCGTTGGATCAATTAAAGAAAAAAGTAAACTTGCTCTAGACTCATTAGGATATTTATCAAAATATTATAGAATTTTTTAGAAAAATGGTCGAAAAATATCTCTTTAATTCCAATCTGAGTCCCTCAAATTATATTCGTCTTCGTGTTCTCCACTATCATCGTTCTCAACTTCTGTATTTTCAGCACTGTTAATATTATGTCCTCTTTGTATTTTTTATCTCGCTTGGCTTTTAGAGAAAAATGGAAAGCAGGTAAACCTCAGGAATGCTAGGAAGACTGTTTGCAAAGCAAAGGTAGTTCCTAAAGCGTATTGTTTTGCGGCCTCATTCTGCGATAATCAATGTTACTATCGTGAGATCATCAGCATAGTCACACTTATATTTCATTTCACGAGGCACTTATTTATTTTCAACTTATCTCCACAATCGTCTTTGTTCCAATTTTCCGATTTTACCTTTTATTTAAAACTGATGGACCCACGACCAACTGCAGACAGGGCTCTTTAGCATCAGTACGATATAGGTCTGTAATATAGGTCTATATCAGGTCCAGACGTGGAGATAAAAGAATGAAAAGCAAACACGTGAGTGTCGTCTTAGCAAAACCGAGGAACGTAGTAGTTGAATTCTCTGTTAAACTGTTTTATTTCACAGGCATGAGAGATTCCAATGCATAACGTGCAGAAGAGGATGCTATGTTTGAACCTTTTTGTGGTGTTAAAAGAATTCATCACTATTTATGAACCAAGCTTGCCTGAATTTAACGGTTCAGCAACTGCACTTAGCTTCTTTGCATCTGCTAAAATTATTTTGTTTCTAGAATTCATTTTAGTTCGCTTTGAAAACTGCTCTTTTCATACAGCTAATACTTGAAACCTTTTCGCTATTAATTACCGTAACCTCAAACTATGCCGCGAAAATTATAGTAAGTCAGGCAGTAAGTCTGGCTTTTCGTGATTTTTTGCATCGAAGACTAAAGCAGCTCAATTTGATGTAGTTTTCGCGGGAGCATCCGTCACTATTATACTTACTATATGACGTAGAAGATTTACTGGTTGCCTATAGTTGCATGACTGAGATACCATATTCTTCCACCAAAGAGAACCCGATAGAGTCTATCGATACCATATAGTAAGTCAAAAGCAATTGATTTTTGAGTTACCGTAGTCTTCGTTGCAGTGGTCAATAATGATTTTCGTCACAAATTCTTTCAAGTTGCGAAGCTCAGACTTCGAACAGAATATTACACTATCTTAGGACCTTTCAACTTTCAGAGGTAACCGAGAGTATCACCGATACATCTACCTATCAACATTTGTGAGGATGCCATCATGGCTGATAGGGTTTGTGACTGGAGTGATACTATACAACTATCGTAATGTAAAACTTAAACAGGTAATCGGTCTTCTTTTACTACAAGGTAGCTGATTTAAGCAAATTAACTCCCATAATTTTCTGTAATACTGATTCAAGCATTCTATTTATACCGTCTTACAGTTTGTTTTCAGAAATCTTTCAGGCTGCTTGATATAAACATCTTCCAATAAGTATGAGATCAAGAGAAATGGAAAATATTTTCTCTAACTTTTGAGTATCACTTAATACAGCATTCAGTATCTACTTTCCATGTCAATTTACAGTTACAAAAAAATCAGTTACAAATACAAAATATCAAACACAAAATATTATGTCTTGTGAATGTTGGAAAGAATGTCACTTTATTTTTTTGTCTATCTGCAAAGTATCGTTAGTGAGAGAAGGACAAAAAGGCTTGGTCGCTTTTTAAAATGGATCCAGTGACGATGCACCTATGGGCGAAAAAGTGCTGAAACTTCGCTTCTAATGTTTCCTGTTTCATATTTTGAAGAGGTTGAAAATTGTGGGCCAGGGGTTGAGGGAGGTGGAATGCTTTAAATGTTGCATTAAAATGCCGAAAAATATCTAATTATTTCTTACCAAATGAATCATAAACCGATTCCATTTAATAGATTTATATCACAGTTAAATGTACGGATATGATATCTAGAAGTTTAATTTGTCCCTCAAAGGACAATATGACATGGCAGTTGGAAACTACTGAGTAAGCTTGCGCTACGTGAGCTACGATTTTCAGCTCAACGTGCAAACCAGGCAAAATATGGCAAAAAGTGCTAGTAATATCACATGTTCTTCTGGCCGATTCAAACCACATATTTGTTTAAAATTCCTCTATATTGTACGATGTTTCCGTCTCAACGGTGACCTTTTTCAATTACAATTGACGCTTTTGACAATATATTTTGATTATCTGTCTGCCAGGAGACACTTCGTTTTTTTTCTTTTATCTGCACAATCCTATACAGTGTGTGCAACAGTCTGAATGGTACTGGAACATTACCTGTGTTTATTCTAGAGATATCCGCTTCCCAAATACACTCACCATGCGTATCCACAGAACTGTATTTTTCCATAAAGGCTTCACTTTTAATGCGATCTATGTATATAATTCATTACCCCATGAAATTGATTCTTTGACGTTCGATAACTTTAAAAAACATATCAAGAATCTGCTTTTACTTTTTCAAAATTAAAAATACTTTCTTTCTTCCACTTCTGATGATAAGAATAGTATTTATGCATTTCTCGGAGTAATTACATTAAGTATGTATAATACTTTTGTTGTATCGTCGGTCTTATTGTGATTTATCTGTTTTATTCATGTTTGTATTTATTTTTGTATGGGTTGAGTGGAGGAAAAACTTCGCCTAGATAAAAATACGTTTATTATATTGATGGTGCTGTTCTGTTCCCTGGGGGGCGATGTGTCTCGAAACTTTTTCTGGATAGGAGAAAGCTTTTCCAGCCACTCCCCGACAAAAAAACATGATAGTATTGCCCTATCGGCCTCTCCTACCCGAAGTGTGAAAATCTCAAGAAATCCGGCAAGCTCACTAAAACCTCACAATCATTCGTTACACCTCCCACTACTGTGATGCAGCATTTCGACATGATGGGCATCGTTGCGTTAAGTTTTCATACCAAAGGTATTTAGTCTCTCAAGTTGGTTAAATATCAACCAATTGGACTTCGTTTACATGCCTGGGGCAAAATTGTCAGCAAACAGACTCTCGTTGATCGTCAGAAGTTATGACCACTTCCGTCTGCTCAGGAGCTAATTTCAAACTATGTTCTTCCAACCAGATGGCAATTCTCATGATTCCATATGCGAAAAGACTTTTAAGTGTACCTTTCTCCTTGCTAGTGACAATTATCGCCAGGTCGTCAGCATACTCTATCAGGCGAATTCCAGGAAGCATCTGTAAACGAAGGACCCCATCGGGAACACGTTCCAAAGCAACGACCCACTTCGGAGCCCTGTGGTAATTCCATCATCGTCTCTCGTCCTACCATAAGCACCCTTTCATTAAAATAGCTCTTTATGATGTTCAATATATACGTATAGCTAGGAGTGCTTAGCTTCTCGAGAGATCCAATGATTTTCTGCCATTGTGCGGTACTGAATGCATTCTTAACGTCAAAGGCAAAGCTTCTTACGACTGTAGCTGCTTCTGCTAGCTGCAGCAAGTGCATCTATGATATATTTTCCCTCTCTAAGTTCATATTGTTAGAGAGACAGTCAGTTCTTTTCTTCGACGTATTTTCTTAGCGTACCTTATATTAGTGGTTCTAGCAGCTTTCCCAGTGATCTCAGCATACACAGAGGTCTATATTTTTCTTTCCTGTCGATGGGTCTTAGAGGTTTTTCTTTAACCAGTGCTTTCCGTGTTTTTGAGTGTTGTTGTTACCGGGATCAGAAGCTTTTTAATGATAGAACGTCTTTGACTAATACTAAAGTCCTTACATTTACAATCCCCTACCCTCTAGAACCCCCAAATCCTCGCCAGTTTTGGCATAGAAAGTAAGAACGGTAGAACTAGAATAAATGATCAAAAAAGTGACCCGGTAATTAAGCTGGTCAGTTTGAAAATTATTTTTGTATTTACAAATATGGTGAAAGTGAAAGCAAAACTATTTCTAATTTATTTGTCCTAGGTTACGGTGCTTTTTGGATGGGCGTTTTCCATACTGACTTTAGTTTACCTTGTAATGGCACACTCATCATTTTTGAAAAATGACTATGATCTTGTCAAAGCGGCCCTATTCAATTCAGCAGCTAGACCAGCTTGGTCAATAGCTATATGTGTGATAGTTTTCCTGTGTTCCTCAGGACATGGAGGTAAGTTGATATCTTTGACGCTCTCGAGGCTTTTTGTTTCAAAACAACTGATTATTGAAATGATAAGTTTCAATTATTTGTATTTCCGTTTTTATTGAATTAGAAGCAACCAACGTAGCATAAATTCAAAATTTTAAGTGAAAATCAGTATGGATTTACAGAAGGGAAGGCTACATCGGACGCAATAACTAAAATTGTAAATCAAATACATCAAAATATTGATAACAGAATCCCTTCAATCTGCATTTTTGTTGATTTAAAGAAAGCTTTCGACACAGTTAATCACAAATTATTATTAGAAGCATTGGAGAGAATTGGTTTCAGAGGAAACGCGTACTCACTGATCGAAAGTTATTTGTCAAATCGCTCACAATCTGTGCAGATATCAGGATCATTTAGTAAAGAAATGTATATTAAGTGTGGTGTCCCACAAGGAACTGTCTTAGGTCCGCTGTTATTCAATATATATTTAAATGATATTTTCCAAATTAATTGTGTTGGCAAAATAACTAGTTTTGCAGATGATACTGCAATATTATATGAAGGCACTGACTGGTCTGATCTGAAAAATGTAATTGGAAATGATTTTATCAGAATTATTCGGTGGTTTAACAGTAGAAAATTAAGCATTAACTACTCTAAAACACATTTTTTACCATTTGGATCTTATGCTAGACATCTGCCAAATTACACAAATTTCTCCTTCAATATTAATGATCAAAAAATGCAAATTAATAGAGTGCCCAACATAAAATACCTTGAAGTGGTCTTGGATCCTCACTTACGATGGGACATCCATATCAATTATATTTTAAAGAAAGTTAGATTTGTATCCTACAAAATTAAATACCTTGGGAATATATTGACAGAAAATATCTTCGAACATTATACCATGCACTGATTGAGCCTCATCTCACATATGGTATATTAGCATGAGGAGCTGCATGTTCCTCACATATCTATAATTTAGATGTTTTTCAAAAAAGTATTCTAAAAATGATATTTAAAAAACCGAAACTTTATCCCACTGAAAATTATACGCAGATGTTCGAATGTATGATATAAGACAGCTTTATTTCTTACACAGTATCACTCACTACCATAAATTTGTGAACACCGACCAAAAAATTAAACATAATCATTATACCAGGTACAAAATTCGTGGCACAGTACTTCCTCAACCGCATAAATCTATAATGCAGCGATCATATCTCTATTTAGCGCCTAAATTTTATGAAATTATACCTAAAGACTTAAAAGATTTACGTTTCGGAAATTGTTTCAAAAGAAATTTAAAAAAGTGGCTACATTCTATATCTAGGACTGAAATTCATAAACTCATAAATACGAACATCAACTAAATACATAAGCTAGGAAGCTTAAATTCTGAGTAAAGGAACTGTTTTAGCGTGAAAGTGGCAGTTGAAAATTTCAAGATAGCGGCTGGGCACCATTTTGGGGTATTTTTCACTAGAATGCTGGGTCGTGTGATACGTCATTTTGAAGCTCCTTATGAGTACTTTATATCATTATATTTCAAAATAGGAACCTGGCAGGCTGTTAAAGTTGAGCGTTTTTGTACATTGAGTCGACTCAACAATCATCAAAACGCTGTTGTATGTTGTATCAATATTCTTCTCTTTGAAGACTCTATGCAAATGCTGAATGAAAAAAGAGTTATCCAAATGAGATGATATTTTCATGAAATTATTTTATAGGAATGATTAATAAGTTCCTGTCCCTTAAGCTGTTCCAAGTTCTCGTAAGGATGTCGTACAGTATATACCTTGTACATGTACTGGTTATAATTTATTTCGTGGGAACTAAGAAACATTCAGAGGAATTTAGCAACATAAAAATAGTAAGTAATATTATTAACCTATAAGTATAGTCATAGTTGAATTTGATTAGAAACAGAGCTGGTGGAGTGCTCTTAGGCTTAAACCTCGCCACCCGGCCTCACAGAATGCATTTTTAAGTTTTTTAGTGGAATGCGCTTAAAATACTGTATATTAAAAAGATCACCTATTAATTTTTTGTATTTATTATTACTGAATAATATTATAAAATACACCAGCAATAGATATAATTAAACCAAATAAAAAAGTTCTTGTCAACTCGGCGATCTAAAGTGTATCTAACGAAGCTACAAAGTAATCGTAAACAGTGGTTGATTCGTGATCAACGCGTGATCGGTAGCCATGGCGCTCTGTCGGCCTCTTCCTGATTGGCTTGTAGCGACGAGCCTCCAGACAAAGTCGCACGGTTGCCACGCTCGGCGAGTTTTCGCCAGAGTGGTTGATCACATTCGCATGGATCACAAATCAATCTGTTGGTGCAATACGTGCAATAACTGTTGTAAAGGACATTATATAACAATAAATGGCATCACAAAGGTATATGCAATTTGATCTGCAGCAAATTATGAACGGCATATACGGAGATGCGAAAACAAGCTCAAAAAGGTGAAGAAAATTTTTGTGCAATCTTTATAGTTAAATTTTTCCTAAGAGATAGCATCAGCGAGGGAATTTTTTTCTATTGTCTTATTTTTCACATTAATGCGATGTCGAGGTATGTGGCCCTATCGCAATTGAGAATAAGGTTTCGATAATCCTTCCATAAAGTTTCGATGAGTACATCTGAAATAACCTTGAGATATTCTTCAGGGAAATACAAAAATCTCCTTTTGTGTTTTTTTGTGCAGATTTATCTATTAAAATCCTATCCGCAATCTATTTTACGTGCACACACCTTCAACCGAATGTATGCCATATATGATATTACCGTTTCCAACTTTCACCAAGGTTAATAGGAACATAACAGCTCCCTACCCTTCCCCCCTATAAGAATATCGATTTGTAGCCTCACATTTCAAGGTTAGACTTCTTGTAATGTTTCTGTTCAACATTCGGCGATTTCTGACAATTTTCCCAATAAAACATGATCATTGTGACACTAAGCCTGGCAACGCTGCATAGTAGAGGGAACTCTCAGCGTCACGTTGATGGTTCGTCACCACGCACAGGATTGTAATCAGTTACGGGTACCCGTTTATGAGCGCGAACGTTTTATGCACGTCTTGACTTGATTTTTCTTGCGGAAATTTAATATTAGTCTAAAATGTCTGACACAGATACAGCTGATGAAGTGGTTGAAATCAGCTTAACGTCACCCAGAAAAAGGGCTAAAAAGCTTCATCTTAGCGCAAGTGAAAAACAAATTATTCTAAACATCTACAAGAACCAGATGCAAGAGAATAGTGGATTGGCTATAGAAAATATCGTATGTAAGGTTGCTGAAATTTCTGGAGTAGGTCGATCAAGTGTTTACAAAATCTTGAAGGAATATAGACAAAATCACTCACTATCTGAGCCAAAAACATATCCAGCGAGAAAAAAAATCATCGAAAAAATAGATGACTTTGACAAAAGTGCCATTAGAAGAAAAGTACATCACGTTTTCTTCAGGAATGAAATACCTACAATAGATAAAATATTGAAGCAAGTGAATGATGATGAGGACCTGCCAAATTTTAAAAGATCTACGTTCCATAAGCTGTTGAAAGAACTAGACTTTCGATTTTTGAAAAGAGGAAGGAATAGTTTATTGATAGAAAAGGAGGAAATTGTTATCTGGAGGAGAGAATACCTTAGAAAAATTAGGCAATTCCGCGCTGAAGGAAGAAAAATTTATTATTCAGACGAAACATGGGTGAACGCGGGGCATACGCAGGGAAAGGTTTGGGTAGACAGATCTGTGAGGTCCTCAAGGCAGGCTTTTTTAGATGGCCTTTCGACGGGATTGAAAAATCCTGCAGGTAAGTTTCGAAGTATATGAACTTTTTTGGATGCAGATAATTCATTTTCTGATCGAATCAATGATTTGGAAGCTCCGAACTCAGTTTTGCTATCTCATCCAAGTTTCTGAGTATTTCCGTCACCCAAAAACTAATCTAAGACCCTATCCTACACTAACCTAAAAAGAGTAAGTTGCTTAATTTCGTCATTTAGTGCGCTCGCTGAGAAGTAAAATAACTAATTACTTTCAGGCAAGGGAAAACGCCTGATCATTTGCCACATAGGTAGCGTAGATGGATTTGTTCCTGAAGCATTGTGGGCATTTGAATCCAAAAAAACTGGAGACTATCACGAAGAAATGGATGGTAACTCATTTGAAAATTGGTTCAAAAAAATTTTGCCGACACTTGATGATAACGCAATTATTGTGATGGATAATGCCCCGTACCACTCCAGAAAATTGGAAAAAATTCCAACAATGGCCACCAAAAAGGCAGAGATTCATCAGTGGCTTGTCTCAAAGAAGATCGACTTCGACCAAAAAATGGTCAAAGCTGAGCTGATAAATATAGTCAAGCGACATAAGTATAAATATGATTTAAAAATTGTTGACGAAATGGCCAAAAACCAAAATAAAACGATTCTCAGGCTGCCTCCCTATCACTGCGAACTGAATCCTATCGAGTTGATTTGGGCCGACATCAAGCAATACGTGGCGTCAACATAATGATGTCACATTGTTACCATGGCCACCAAGATCTCCCGAATTATCCCCAATTGAGCACGTGTGGGATATGATGGGTAGGAGATTGCTCAATTTGCAACGTCCTCCTCAGACTCTAGAAGCACTTCGGGAGGAATTGCTGGTTGCCTGGAATGAGATACCACAGGAGGACATTGACTACCTGATCAGATGCATGCCTAGGCGCGTTGGAGAATGCGTAGCACATCAGGGTGCATCCACACATTATTAAAGGTCAAAGGGCTTTAAAGCAGTGCAATCATTTTGAAATTTTTATCATTTACTTATTATGCTTCATTAAGTACTTATACAAAATTTTATTAAAATAAAACCATTTAAACTGGGTGTTCGGATTTATATGTCACTTAGTATATTTGTATAGTGAAAATGCTTCAATAAGAACATCTGGGGTTTGTTTGTAGTATTGTAGTACCACGTATGTGATTAATTCTGGGAGTTTCATTATTTGGCAAGTTTTGCTAGTTGCGAACTCTTAAGTATTAATCGTTTACAAGAAGGAATAGATGTGTCCCTTAGACCCAGTGACAAAGAAGCCGGTGCCACTGGCGTGCTTAGTTAAAATTCGCAACACATAACAATTTGATGTTTCCGCTCTAATAAAATTTAGCTGGAAAGAATCAAGTCCTTAAGGGCCGTATCGTCACTCGTTCCTATAATTATTGTAGGAAGCTTTTATGGCCTCCTTGATTTTCGTCAGCGCTCTATTTTGGGGTTATGTTGCAAATATGTATTTGCATCAAATTGTTCATACTTTTGATTTATGTCATCTATTATAACAGCCTGAGATTCCTTACACTTTAAAAAGGAAGCATAGAAAATCTAGAAATACCTACGAATGCCATAAAGACGTCCTACAATAATTGAAGGAACGACTGACGAAACGTCGATTCGTAGAATTTCATTTAAATAACTCAGGTAATTGAAGATGAATTAAAAATATGAATATAAGAAGAAATGAACTTGAACACAGATATACAGTTACAGGTAAGTATCTCTGTTACGGAGCCGTAAATAACATAAGTTAACAGAAAACATGTTTGTTCAGATTAATGAGAGCAAACGGCGGTATATTATAAATCTGAAAAATCGTATTCATAGAAAGGGAAAATTAAAAAAAAAACTGAAAATCAAAAAGGTCACAAATATACGGCATTTTAGACGCATTCCGTTCAATGTGCCCGGGTTTCGAGACTGTTCGAGCTTTCACGTCTAATGGATTTCCATCATGCAGAAAAACTATCTTATAGTCTTCAGCGCGTAGCAGCAGCAAGCACAATGTATATAGAATATGACGATTGAAATTTGGCCTGGAAATAAGGTGTCAAGACATTTTTATACTCCCACCAGTTAAATAAATCTAATTAGTAATAGGTAAGGATCCTGTGCATCGGGATTTCAATACCTGTGGGAGATACAGCTTAGGTTAAATTAGGAAAAAGCTGCGTAGTTTGGAGAGTATTTACACGCCGATGAGAAACTTATAGACATTTCATGCCCTAATGAGATATTTGGGAAAAACTAAAATTTGGGCCAAATCGTTTTTATTTTATTTTAAAAATAACGAAAAACACTGGACAACAAATTTTAGTTTTTTAATTGTATCTTGTGGGAAAAGTGCACTTCATTGTTAATTTTGGGGCGCTGAATCCAAAAATGACAATGAAATAAAAAAATTAGTTGCGGTTTAGAAAAAAAACTTTTTATTTTTATTTTTAAGGATATATTAAAAAAAGTAACAGGATTCATATACTTATAAGAATCACTATATGCGCTGTCTTTTTGCTGTTCTTTTATGGATCGTTTCTGGAGCATCTCTACCAAGAGTCCAACAGTAGTCTGCAAGCATGGAAGGATTCCACTTTCCCTGGTACCTTTTTTCCATTGTTGAAATATCCTGATGAAAACGTTCGCCGTGCTCATCACTTACGGCTCCGCAATTGTCAGGAAAAAAGTTCAGGTGTGAGTGTAGGAAATGTATCTTAAGAGACATATTACAGCCCATCTTTTGATATGATGACAGCATATTTTTGACAAGGGTTTTATAGTTGTCAGCTTTTCTATTTCCCAAGAAATTAGTGACCACCAGACGGAAATCATTCCAAGCAGTTTTTTCAATACCTGTTAAAGTGTTTTCAACCTGTGTATCTTTCAAAATATTTCGAATCTGTGGCCCAACAAAAATACCTTCTTTAACCTTTGCCTCACTTAGTCTTGGAAATTTCTGACGCAGGTATTGAAAAGCTGACCCATCTCTATCTAATGCCTTGACAAAGTTTTTCATTAGGCCCAACTTGATAT